ACGCCCTTGGGACAAACGACCCTTTCACAGGGGTCGCCTAAGACCATCGGAAAACACATATATAATTACATATTGTTTTTGTGATGAATCACTATGCTTTAATTATCTTCAATAACAATGAAATTGGGGTTCACCACAACATGAGGAACTGTGTTAAAGGGTCGCGGCATTAGGAAGGCTGAGAACCATTGCTTTAGGTCATCAGAGAGCACTGAGGTTGAGGGGCGGCCCCAAATGTTTGCCGACTTTGCTCTAAAAAACTCCCCAGCGAACGCCACCGGGGAGCTTCCGAGTTGCGTGTGGAGTCGGCAGATTTGTTCTCCCGTTGGACGGGGTGGCGTCTACCTTAACACCAAGTGCAGAGAGGAGCCTCCTCCCCCCGGGGTGTGTTGTTCCGAGGAGCCCGAGTTCTGTGTTCTGCTCATTTGAGGCTAAACAAGCAGCTGCGAGAAGGTGGTCAGATGCTGGCTGTCAGCCGGGGTCCCGAAAGAGCCCGCCGCCGGCTCCTGGTTCATACACCCTCTTGGGTACACACGGTCTGGAAAATTCCTGTGGGTCCAGGGGAATGGTGACCATTACAGAAAAACAAACTTGTTTGATAATGCAAGGACTGCACATTTTTACAAATTAAAAAACGAGACATAGAAGACCAGCCAGTGTAGCTCAGCGGTTGAGCATCGACCAAGGAACCAAGAGGCACCGGTTCCATTCCCGGTCAGGGCACATGCCCGGGTTGCGGGCTTGATCCTGTGTTTGTGTGTGTGTGTGGGGGGGGGGCGTGCAGGTTGCAGCCAATCAATGATGTTTCTCATTAATGTTTCTGTCTCTTTCACTTCTCTCTCTCTCTCAAAAATCAATAAAAAACATTTAAAAATCAATAAATAAATGAAACATGGAAAATAAAGATCACCTGCAATTCTCTCGTGCAGAATCAGCCGTACTGGCATCTGTACATTTTAACCCTTTGCGGTCCAACTTTATTTCTGGAATTCAAACAGTCTGGTCCAAATGAATTGACAGGATTGAATGTTGACCCGGTTTGTGGTGTCGACCTCAGCCTCGATGTTGGGCCTGCTCCTAGCACCTGCCCTGTCGAGTCAGCCTCCACGTTGGACCGAAAAGGGTTAAACACAAATGGGATTCTTGAAGAACTTCAATTACAATACTACATAGTAGCATGATAATAAATCCATGGCAATGCTTTAAAAGAGTGGTTCCCAAACTTATTTGACCTACCGCCCCCTTTCCAGAAAAAATATTACTCAGCGCCCCCTGGAAATTAATTTTTTGTGGGGGGGCAGCTGTTGTGTGTGTGGGGGGGACAGCTGTTGTGTGGGGGGCCTGCTTCTACTGCGGGCATGGGGGGTGGTTGGACGAGGGCCGGCACTTGTAAAAGAACTTTCCGAGAGTCCTTCTCTCAGATGCCTCCGCTTCCTTAGCGCCCCTGTGTTTTGGCAACAGTGCACCCCCGGGACTGGTAAACACTTGCTGGTTTCAGCGTCTGTGTGGAGGATGATCCTGGGCCTGCCCCTCCATTTGTACCTGCTGTGAGGTTCACCCTTCCTGTTAATTTTTTAAAATATATTTTTATTGACTTCAGAGAGGAAGGGAGAGGGAGAGATAGAAACATCAATGATGAGAGGGAATCATGAACCAGCTGCCTCCTGCACGCCCCACACTGGGGATCGAGCCCATAACCTGGGCACGTGCCCTTGACCGGAATCGAACCCGAAACTTTCAGTCCACAGGCCAACGCTCTATCCACTGAGCCACACCGGCCAGGGCTGCCCCCTCCTGTTCCTCATGCCAACACCCTGGTTGAGGCCTCACTGATGTGCATTGCAGTGCACCGACCGAGCAGCTGCTGAGTCCAGCACCGCAGAGGTGCGTGCACCCCCCGGGGCAGGGCACGCCTCCAGCCGCCCGAGGGGACTCCGTGACCCTCCAGGTCAGTGCCCTTCACCCCAGGCATCACTTCCTCCATCTCAAATGCGAGCTGCATCCTCTCACTTCCCACTTCAGGACCTTCTGTGGGGTTTGGCATCTGTACATTTTAACCCTTTGCGGTCCAACTTTATTTCTGGAATTCAAACAGTCTGGTCCAAATGAATTGACAGGATTGAATGTTGACCCGGTTTGTGGTGTCGACCTCAGCCTCGATGTTGGGCCTGCTCCTAGCGCCTGCCCTGTCGAGTCAGCCTCCACGTTGGACCGAAAAGGGTTAAACACAAATGGGATTCTACTGTGTGTGCTGGTTTCTCGGCCTGCTCTGGGGGTGCAGTCCTCCCCGTGGGCCTAGAAAGAATGTCACTGATCCTTAGGGTCTCAAGCCAGCTGTTGTGTGGGGGCCAGCTGTTGTGTGGGGCCAGCTGTTGTGTGTGGGGGCAGCTGTTGTGTGGGGGGGCAGCTGTTGGGTGTGTGG